AAAAAAAAAAAAAAAAAAGAGCCGAGCCGAGCCGAGCCGGCGGCTTATGAATAGTGATTAGGAATAGTGCCACCACTCTTCACTCTTTTATTTAAGTAGGATATAAATATATAAAGTATAGTCTACTTTATCAAACCAACCATGATACTAATGTGTAGTTGATTTTTAACTAACTTTCGAATCCACTTAAAAATTGTTAATTTATTATATTCTCATTCATTTTTTTTAAAAAAAAAAAACTTTTTAAAAAGACTTTGGACTTTGGTTGCAATTATTTCTTTACTTTTACTTTTTCTTTCTCTTTCTTTTTGTTTATTTAAAGAAAATGGTAAATACATCGCTTTATAAGACTTTAATGTAAGAAATGGACGTCATGAACGTTTTTCATAACATTTGCTTGATTTAAAGGTGAATACGTCAAATTAAAATGATATGGACAATTTACGCAAAACGAAGAAATAATAAAAGACATTTTATGCCAATTACCCTTCCAATTTTCCCCTTTTGATATGTTATTTTGTGACCCTATAAATCATTCGTACGGAGCATTCATGTTTTTACAATCCATGCACTATTTATAAAGTGTATAGACTTTATCATTTTGTTTTCTTACCCATTTGAGAAAATTTCGATCACGCTTTTTCATATATTAATGCATTCCTTTTCTTTTTTTTAACTAAAAGTGTCAATCTTCTGGCCCCGTTTTATCATGAAGATAGTATGATTTCGATGCCCATAAAATGCTTCAAATATGCATCATAATCATATTATTTCATCATGTACTTGCATTCCTTTCGTCATATACACGTGTGGATGCATGACAAATACAAACTAGAGTGAGAAGAGGGAGAGAGAAGAAGATATTTACAATTGAAGCAAACATTTTGGCTAGCTTGGTTACACATGATAATGTTATTATTGTCTTTTTACGTGGAACTCGATTAGAGTCGTAGAAGATGTGCAAGCAAAAGTCATACATCAACTAGGTATTAGTATGTCACAGAATTTATAAGAGAATTCGACAATTATCGCTTAATAGTTTCGACAATTATCGCTTAATAGTTTAACCTGATACTATGCTTCTTAAATTATTCAAATCATATTTGAACTTGTTGATTATTGACATATAAAAAATATTTGAAATAAAAAATGAGTAAAATTAATACATGTTTCTTGAAAAACGCAAAAATGAAAAGGCAAAACTGATAGTATAATTAGAGTTCACAAAAAAAATTACTATCTAAATTTAAAAATACTCTCATAAATAGAGTCTTTTGGAAATGCTCCCAGAATCATATTCCGATCTTAGCGTATATGGATGCGCAGGATAGATTTCCTAACGTATATGAAAAATTTGAATGAACGTGTTTGAGAATTTCAGTTAAATACAATGATTAGAAATTCGGTGATGATAAACCCTCGAGGTGATAACCAGGGCTTACCTTAGTACGTCGTTTTCCTGGTTGGAAAAATACGAACATAAAAGGTCGATCTTCGAAGGAAGGGGAGTCGTGATAGTCTTCATGACTTGGGGATGGTCCTAAGCTACTCTAGTAATTAGGTTAGCATTTTGGGATGGAACATAGAGTCCCAATAACAATAATAATAGATGGAACAACTAACAAATATCATAACTTATCTTCCTTGGTTCTATTTAAATTAACCAAAGTGGACAAATTTTGTTCATAAAAGTGCAATTTTAGTTACGCTTTAGTGGTTCAACTCTCCACTTCAACAGTTCACTCTCACTTGTTCATTCTTCTCATTTTCATAATTTCTTTCGTCAATGTACCTTTAAAAAAAAAAGGATCGATCGAACTCGAACTCGAACTTGAACTCGAATTCGATACACTGACAAAGATTCGTAAAAAGATCTGTCTTTCCCGTCTACGCTATTAAATCTATGCAAAAATGTTCCCTTGGTGTTGAAGAATAAGAAAAATAGTAGAACACAAGATATCGAGTCAAACACGAGACGACCACCTATCTCTCTCCAAACCGTTGCCACAAGACAAATCAACCACCAACTCGCACCCTACTCATTCCCCATTTCTAAGCAACAAAACCCACAATCATTTCCACTCAAATTACTTTCTCTCTCTTCGGCAACTTTTCTTTTTGAACTTCTTTAAACGGTCTTGTCTTCTTATATATCCCTCACTCTTTTACATCAAAACAGTTGAAAGAAAAACAACCCTCGAGAAAAAAACACTCTATAGAATGAGAAAACCAGACAGTTTTGGGAGGAGTGGCTGCGCCGCCATTAATGCGGCTTCGAAGCTCAGAAAAGGGTTGTGGTCGCCGGAGGAAGATGAGAAGTTGATGAATTATATGGTGAGAAATGGGCAGGGGTGTTGGAGTGATGTTGCGAGGAATGCAGGGCTGCAACGTTGCGGTAAGAGCTGCCGCCTAAGGTGGATCAACTACTTGCGCCCGGATCTTAAAAGAGGCGCGTTTTCTGCCCAGGAAGAAGAGCTTATTATTCATCTCCATTCGCTTCTTGGCAATAGGTAATCTCTCTCTCTCTCTGTGTGTTATATTGAGGTTGTTCGTTTTCGTTTTCATTGTTGAAGACGATATTTAGATGAATTCACATGTTTCATATCCTATCTACGAGCTCGAGCTCTTAGATAAGATAGTAACATCGTATATTACATACAGTTAAANNTTATCTACGAACTTGAGCTATTAGATAAGATAGTATTACATATATTTAAAAATCGTGAGTCCATGTCTCGTTGTTATCAATCTAACAAAAGTTGTCATATTTGACCTTTAAAAGTGAAATTGAGATTGCACTCTAAAAACAATATTTAAATGCAAAAATATGTATATATGTTAAGAGGGTAAAATCTTATGTCACTTATATAAAAGAATAATTAACGTGTTTGAGTTGTTAAAGCTTTTAAAACGAAATTCCGATATTCAATATGATTTCAAAGTTTCATGATTGTTCTTAACCAACCATCATCTTGTTGTGAGTGTATTAATGCTAAATCTCAATTCGCTTAATAATATAAATAAAAACGTTTTAAAATAGAACTTTGAAACTCAATAATACATACATACACACACACATATATATACATACACACACACATATATGTGTGTAGCTCCTGTTTGAATTCCAATAAAATAATATTATACGTAAATTCATTTTTTTCCCTTATTATTAACCACACATTCTCAAAAAAAAAAAATTACTATTTTAAAATATATTTTTAATTGAGCCCAAACAAGGAATTGAGAAGGTCATTTTGTTTTTAATGCTTGACTTACATGTATGTTATGTGTTTATGCATGCGTATAATGTGGTTGAAATATGATTGATTGATTGCTTCATTTTTGTGTAGTCATTTTCCAAGTTGTAATCCAAATCCATATGTGACAATCAACTTATTAGTTAAAAGTGAACATCCTAAAAAAAAAAATTTAAGTGCATATTTTGGTCAAGAAAATCTTTATTAGACTATATTCCTATTATGTATAGAGATAATATATCGTATTTTCAAATACACGAACCATATCGTTATTCGACTATATAGGTCTAACATGTATAGAGATAGATGCAATGTATTCATTTATATTCGTATCTTCAAACACACGATCTTACCCCTGATTCATTTATTTTATATTACATATTCTTGAAAACTAAATTTTCATGCAATGCATGCAATAAAAATTAAAATCATACATAGTACATATGATAAGTGAATAATTAATTAGTTTACTGATAATTTATCGGTTTATTAACTAATTAATTTTTTTTTTCTGATTAAAATTAGGTGGTCTCAAATTGCAGCACGTTTGCCTGGACGTACTGATAATGAAATTAAAAATTTTTGGAATTCTACAATAAAGAAGAGGCTCAAGAATATTTCTTCATCATCGTCAAGATCACCAAATACAAGTGATTCATCAATGGATCAACCAAGAGATGGCGTTAATGGAGGGTTCATATCAAATCAAGAACCCAGCATGATGGGGGTGTACATGCATCCATCATCTTCTTCTACATGGCAGTTGCCAAATATGGCCTTAAATGCCATGAATCTTGATCCTATCCTTGATCAGCAGCCGACAGGCATTGTCGGGTCGTACTTTGATGTACAACCTTGCAATGCACAAGGTGGGATGTTTGGTGGGAACATTGACTTTGAAGGGCATTTTATGGTTCCACCATTAGAAAATATGAACACTGAACTGTGTGGCAAAATGGGAAATTTCGTTGAAAGGAGTAATGCTAACGTCATGAATAATATGAATAGTATAACCAATTATAATCAATGCAATAATAATAAAGATAACATAAACAACAAATTAGTTGAAAATAATGTGAAAATTGAGGGTTTGTGTTGGGAAGGAGATGAACTTAGAACGGCTATGGGAGAATGGGATTTAGAGGAGTTGATGAAAGATGTTTCTTCGTTTCCTTTTCTTGACTTTCAAGTACAGTAAGTTAGTATGTTTGACAAGGCAGTATTGAACATGTCAGCACACGGATGTTTCATAGTTTTCTCGTTTTTGGCAGTACAGAATACCGAATATGTGTGTAGTCTGCAGTCGAGTACCTTTTGCCGGATGCAAATTTCGACCGAAAGAAACTTCAGAAATTAGTTAGGTGAGGTGAAAGGATGAGAAATAAAAATGCCAAACATGGCTAATGTAACTCTTTGTATAGATGTATGCATGCATAGATTTTCATGATGTTTGTAATTTAGTCATTTTCAGTCATTCCAAAGTGTTTGTAATAACATCCATAAAATAGAGATTAGTTAGAGACTATCATTAATAATAACATGGGACGCATACCCCCATGCCACCCAACCACTCCATTAAATGAATCGGTCGACGAAGAATCATTGAAGATGAAAAAATGTCAAAGAGATTTCTTACGTTAATCTTGTTTTGGCAACATCATTTTTCCACCATGAAAACATTACATATAAGACCGTTTGATGAAAAATGAATTTTAACTTGCCCATGATGATAAAATGTTGTCACTTACCCTACCCTACTCTCACCCCCACCCCCTCAAAAATGTACTTTTTTCACTGATTTTCATGACTGTGATCATGCATTTCTTGAAAAAGTATGCAAATATTATTGTTTCTTCTAATGGGGTTTAATCTCTTAGGTGATATGTCCATTTGGAACAATAATCTTTGAAGAAAGAGTAGAGAGTCAGCTTACTCTCATTGTAAATTTGGACTTTTTAATTTGATTGTTACTTAACTAGACTTAATGGGATAGTGGTATGATTACTTGATTTTTTTTCACTTTTTGTTCCCATTTCCAAAGATAGCACAATTAATTTATAATGTAAACTTTATGCACAAGAAAATTATGGTCATGGTGATAGATGAAATTTAATCTTTTATTTAACAATTTAAAGTTTTAAACGATGTTATTTAAGTTGATATCAGACTACGTATCTTTAAATTCAATATTAAACCGTGTTATCCCCGAAGTAACCTCTTTTCGTTGAGAGCAATTATAGTAAAAACTTGCGGCAATTAGTGAACATAAATCTTGCACCGAGAGAGATTTGTGGGTTTGCACATGTAGTTCTATTCATGTTTCGTTTATGCACAAGAAAATTATGGTCATGGTGATAGATGAAATTTAATCTTTTATTTCACAATTTAAAGTTTTAAACGATGTTATTTAAGTTGATATCAGACTGCGTATCTTTAAATTCAATATTAAACCGTGTTATCCCTGAAGTAACCTCTTTTCATTGAGAGCAATTATAGTAAAAACTTGCGGCAATTAGTGAACATAAATCTTGCACCGAGAGAGATTTGTGGGTTTGCACATGTAGTTCTATTCATGTTTCGTTTGTTATCACCTTCGAGTTTCATATTAAGTTTATTCTATATGCTATTCAAGTCTCACCATAGTCCCTTATGGAAAAACTCATGTGCCTATACACTAGTGAAAACGTTCGACATAAAATAAGCCGTAAGTAAACACACTTTTGCATTATTGGTTCAAGAAATTTAAAATCATCTCATTTCTCTTCCATAAATCTACAACTTTTTCACCGTTGATGCTTTTAAATAAAATATATTTCTACACACGCATGATGCTATAAGTTTGTGAACAAAAGATAACCCAATTCTAGAAGTTCAAACAAGAAGACAAAATGGAGAAATATAAAGCAAATGCTTCGTTAAATCATTTCATCTCAAGATTTTTATCAAGCTAATAACTAACATATGACTTTCTCAAGTGATTTTTTTTATTTTGGAAGTCTTTTTCTTTCACAGTAATATATGACAATTGAATAAGTTATAATTGACTGCCAAATTTCAGCACGTAAATGAAGTCATAATGTTTTTGGTTTGAAATAATGCGAATTAACTTTTGTTATATTACTTATATAGAGACTATATTCTCACACTAATGAATGATTCTTTGATTTTATAGAGGAAATTTTGAATTAATAGAAGAAGCCAAAACATGACACGCACATAAACATGGTGAACAGGGGGTTTTTCTCGAGTGGTGCTAAATCACCACTCTATATATGTGGCATATAAATAGCATTAAACGATAAGTCCAATTGTCCTGACTCATAGGATATTTCAAATTACAAACTGTCACATGTATGCCACGTGGGATGAATATCGATAGTCCTCACTGCAAATAGCATTTCTCTAACACTAACGGTGTTATGTAACATTACTCTTCTTTTCTCTATAATGTTGTCCTGTATTGTTCCTATATATAAAGTCAATAGGAATAGAACAATAAACCCATGGCTTAATCCCGATTGTGGCATGAGTGAATAAAGAAAATCAATAGAGTTATCGAACCTATTGTGTTGTAGTGCATTATCGAGGAAATAACAAAATATGTAATAGATTATCATCTGATTTTATATTGTTTGGAGAAAATACAGGGGGCTCGCTTTCGTAAGAGTCATCCTATCTCAAGCGTGGATGATTATCAATAACGAACTTGCAAAATGAATCTATTTATCATAAAGAGATTAGTCGTTTCATATTCCATTTCACAATATTGTCACTTTGTGGGAATTAGAAGACTTGATGTGTAAATGTTTTCATAGTGGAAAAAAATATCTTGATTGTCTATTTTTATATGGGTTTCAAATAGTAGTATTATCTAATTCTTGTTTACTATTTAAAAAAATTATTTTTTCAATTTTTCAGTTATCGGTTCAACCCAGTTTCAATCACCCTTCACCCTTTCATTTTCTAGGATCGATACCCAATCCATTTGTAAAACACTGGATAAAACATCTTATTGTCCATGTTTTAGTAGAAATTTGAGTTAACACCTCCATAAAATTGCTAAAACAATACTATTGAGGACAATATGTTCTCATTTTTGTTCAGAGAATACAGTTTTACATGTAGCAACAATGGTTTCTCAATGCAGTGTATCTACAATTGCTCCACCACGGTGCATGAAGAAGTGACTGAAAGTACATGTGTGGCTTAAACTATTTTGTTATAAAACATCTTAAATCCTATGCAACCCCTATCTCTCCCCAGCCCAAGTCAATGGTCTCCCAGCTCTTTTTTTTTTAAGAGATAGAGTCAAGTTCGTTACGATCAGCAAACAAAAATTCAATTAGCTAAATGTTCGATTTGTATGTTGAGACACCTTTATTTCTCCAAAATCTTTTATCATGGAGACCTTTCACCTGGGCTGGGAGGAGAGATGAAAAATGACATCCATTTGCTATCAAATTGTTATTTGCTGGGTTGAAATGTTCACAAAAGCATTATCAACTGTAACACTTAAGAAGTTAATGAACAAAATCAAATCTCAAGGGAAGTTATCATGAAAGATTTGTACTCTTTTTCCATATCGTGATTTTGTTCGAAAAGATTTTTTTGGCAAGATTTTTAATGAGACAACTTTCATATCGCATTAAAAATTATACTGTTATTCTTTTTACTTTATTAAGGTTTTTCTCACAAAGTTTTGTTTTTTTCCTAAAGGTTTTAACTAGGCATTCTTTGTTAATTAATGCTAACATAATACTCTCGTATGTTACAAATGAGCAACAACAATATCTTTTTTCATCAAACCATCATGTTGGCTACAATCACCAATTATTCATAAATATCTTGTATGAAGATGGTATTGTTTGAAAGTTTTTTCAAGACAACATTAAACATATATATTTTGTCAGTATTATAAAAATGAAGATACTGATACACAAGATATAAATTGCTCGATACATGTATTTTCATTCGTTGTAATCAAGATGAGTAGATGTACACTTTTTCCTTTGTTCAAGTTTCGTTCATTGAATTTGTTGACATGGTTTTAACTAGGCGATATTTTATTACTCTATATTTTTTTGTACTCTTTTTTTTTTTTTTTTTTCATTCGTTTGATATTTTTATCCCATCGAATTTTTGTCAAACAAAACTTTTAACGAGTGAAATATTTTGTAATTAATGAAAATATTTAAAATTAAATATTGTTTGTATCCGTACAACTCAAATGACACCTTATGAATAGCATTATTCCGATGTGGATTGAATTATCAATAAAATATACTTAAATTTTGACTCTCTTTATTATCTGATCTTATTCTTGCTTTCAGTTAGTTTTATATAATAGTTTTAAATTAAAGTACATATTTTTTACATTGTCAATCATCAATAATACTATATAATAGTTTTAATTTAAAGTACATATTTTTTACATTGTCAATCATCAATAATACTATATAATAGTTTTAATTTAAAGTACATATTTTTTACAATAATACTCGGTGTATTGGTAAAGTTTCACTGATTTTTTACAAGCTTCCACTTGACGATTTTTCATTGGCGCTTGGCAAAAATCACAAAAAAGCACCATATAGGTGCTATCGACGCAGAAGCTGTAAGGTGCCTTTAAACAATTCCCCTATACAAAAATGAGTTAAGCCAAATGTACAGAAAATGGGTTTACAGAACTTCTACCACCTCTCACATGAGGTGGGTCTCATGTGAGACCGAGCTCATTAAAAAATGGATAAAAAATTTGCTGACCCCACGCCTTGTGAGTGATACAGAACCCCCATCTCTGTAAGCCAAGCTCGGTTCTACAAATATTGTCTAAGATTATGCAACAAACACGTCATTTCACCTGCATGGGCTTGGAACTAATTCATCGCACTATGGAGTCGAACTAAAAATAAGAAATTTGAGGTTAATTTTGAATAAGTTAATTTTTTGTTTTCAAATATATGTAAGTTATATTTTACTCTTAATTAAGAAAAGTTATTTGGCTCTGAAGTTATTTTTTGACAAGTAATTTTTTACGATAAAAAATGTATAAAATGATTTTTCTTTAGAGGACGTGGAAAAAAGTGATTGTATTTTTTGTCAAAATGAACAACTTTGCTAACGAGTTACGGAGAGTAAAATAACTACAACATTATCCAAATCCCCGCCAAATGATAACGATTTTCCGACAGGATGGAAGCCCCCATATCCTTAAACCTCAAAAATCTTCAATTTTCACGAAAACAAAGAGCAACCCACGACTGGGATTCAATTATCAAACACCAGGCCAAGCTCAGAAACGACAATGCGATTCTCACGACATATACCCACATGGAATCTTTAAGCATTTTACCGAACACAGTAACGTTGCCTCTCATTCTCAAGGCTTGTGGGAATTTATATGCCATTGAAACGGGCAAGAAGATACACAATGATGTTATGAATACAGGTTTGATTAGTGATGTGCGTGTTGGGACAAGTCTTGTTGATTTTTATTGTAAATGTGGGTGTTTGGATGAAGCGAGATACGTGTTTTATGAAATGCGTGAGAGAGATGTAGTTGCCTGGAATGCGATGATTTCTGGATCTGTGGAGTGTATGGAATTTGAGGAAGCTGTGTTTTTGGTTATGGAGATGCAAAGAGACGGGTTGAGACCGAATGCAAGGACTATGGTGTCATTGCTCGTGGCCACGGGGGAACTCATGGACTTGGCACTGGGGAAGGAGATACATGGGTATTGTTTGAGAAATGGATTTTTGAAGTGTAATGCTCATGTGGGAACTTCTTTGATTGGGTTTTACTTGAAATTTGATGTGTGGACGGCATTTGATGTTTTTGAATCGATGAATTTGAGGAATGTGGTGAGTTGGAATGCAATGATTAATGGGTATGTTGATACAGGGTATTGCTTTGAGGCATTGGATCTTTTTGTTCAAATGTTGATGAATGGGATGAGATGTGATTTGGTGACCATCCTCAGTGCTATACAGGCCATTGCAGAATATAGGTGTGTTAAATTGGGTATGCAAGTCCATCAACTGGCAATCAAATGTGATTTTAACAGAGATTTGTATATAATAAATGCATTGATAAATATGTATAGTCAGATTGGATGTATGGAATTTGCGCATGTTCTATTTCGATCCGTTTCTACTGGAGATGTTGCTTTGTGGAACTCTATGGTGTCTGCATATACTGAGAGAGGCGCCATTGATGAAGCTGTGGCTTTGCTAAGAGCAATGAAGTTAAAAGGCACAAGACCAGATGAAAGAACTGTTGTGATTGTACTGTCATTATGTGTTGACCTAGCTAATGGTCTGAGAAATGGTCGAAGCCTGCATGCTCATGTAGTTAAATGTGGAATGGAGAACAATGCCTGCATAAGAAATGCATTGTTAAATCTGTTTGGAGAGCTAAATTGTGTTGAAGATGCCTTGAAAATTTTTGACGAGACAAAAAATCCAGATGTGCTTTCATGGAACACGTTGATCTTGACATTGGCCCGTAATGAACTGAGGGGTAAAGCGTGGGATCTCTTCATGCAGATGAGTGAATTACATTTCATGCCGAACTCCCACACGATAGTTTCCATTCTTGCAGCTTGTACTGACGAATCATTTCTAAAACTTGGTAGATTTATCCATGGTTATGTGATAAAACACGGGATCAAAATTGACCCTCCTCTGCATACGGCACTCACAGAAATGTACATGAACTGCATTGATAAAGAAACAGCCGAGGTTTTGTTTGAGAGCTTTGGTGATAGAGACTTGATCTCATGGAATGCTATGATTGCTAGTTATGTGAAGAACAATGAGGCAGAAAAGGCTCTGTTTCTTTTCCATCGTCTGATTTTAAACAAGGAACCCAATGGTGTGACGATTATTAATGCTCTTTCATCGTGCACAAGTCTAGCTAATCTTCCCGAAGGCAAATTTTTACATGCTTATGCAACAAGGAAATCACTGGTTTCTGATTTGGCTGTGGCAAATGCTTTCATAAGTATGTATGCAAGATGTGGTTGCATGAAGTATGCTGAGAACATTTTTAAAGCCTTATCGAAGAGAAATGTAGTCTCATGGAATGCAATGATAGCCTGCTATGGAATTCATGGGAGAGGATATGATGCTATGCCAGCCTTCTCAAATATGTTGGAAGAGGGCTTTATACCTGACAAGATAACGTTCATTTCTGCATTATCTGCTTGTAGCCATTTGGGTTATATAGACAAGGGCATGCAGCTTTACCAATCTATGATACATGATTTTAGGATTACCCCTGAACCGGTACACTATGCTTGTGTGGTTGATCTGTTGGCACGTGGAGGTCGCTTTGAGCAAGCTTGGGAGTTCATCAATTCAATGCCTATTGCACCAATTGCATCTGCATGGAGATCTCTTCTTAGTGCTTGTCGAGTGTATTCTGAAACTAAGTATGCTCATACCCTCTTTGAGAAGCTGGTTGAATTAGAACCGAGAAATGCCGGTAACTATGTTTTGTTATCAAATATCTATGCAGCTGCAGGCCAATGGTCAGAAGTCGAAAAATTAAGAAAATTGCTTCGAGAAAAAGATTTAAGAAAGCCTCCAGGAAAAAGCTGGATTAGTGTTAGAAATAAGATTCACTACTTCACTGCTGGTGATAAATCGCACCCACAATGCGACAAAATTTACCAAAAGTTGGAATTATTGTTGTCGTCTATAAAGGAACGAGGATATATTCCTGATCTTCATTGGGTTCTTCACGATGAAGAAGACGAAGAGAAATTTAAGAGGCTCTTAAGCCACAGTGAGAAGCTAGCAATTGCTTTTGGATTGATCAACATTAGAGGCGGTGCCCCAATCTTGATTACCAAGAACCTAAGGATTTGTGGTGATTGCCATGAATTTAGTAAACATGTCTCCAAATTGGTTGGAAGGGAAATAGTTTTGAGGGATGGAAGTCGTTTCCATCATTTCATTAATGGCGTCTGCTCATGCAGGGATTTTTGGTAAGACCAGCATCTCAACTCTGGAAGCACGGAACTTCAGTCCGACATTGATTGGCAAGTAACAGCCCATTTGGCAGGGTTGCTTTTGCTTTTTGTAGAAGAGCTTATTGAAAAAAAAAACCACCTTAGACCAAATTTCTTTTAAAGTGCTTTTAACCAAACAAAACACTTCCAAAAAATTATCCATACAGGTCCAGAAGCAACTTTTTTCAAAAGCCTTGCCAAAGGAGCCCTAAAATTTGTGTGGATTCTCGATTGGCAACCTGACTAGGATGAGAAAACTGCGTACATCTTTGGAAATCTGCAAGTTTTCTAATCGGGTCCTGATTTACATTTGCACTACTAGACATGGGATGTAATTCAATGTTGGCTCAGATGGAAGGTCAGTAACGACTAACTCGGACAGATGCTACTCAATTCTTGATTTGTATTAGCTGAATTGTTTTGTTTCTTCCTTTTTAGGTACAAAATTCAACATCTAACAAACGAGATTTTGATGCAAGAAGGTGGTTTATACGTTGATTCCTCTGGGGTTTACAAGTCACAAGAACGGGGTATTGTCTGGATGATAATTCCTTTTCAATTGAGCTCTAAATTCGTATGAAATACTCGTGTGAATAATTTCTTGATAGTTTTTTACTAAACCCGATTTTCGAGTTTTCTCATGAATCAATTAGCATTAGAGAGAGTTATTTCACATAATCATGTATCCTTCTTCATATAAAAGCCTTTACAGAATTCCTGAAGTTTTGACAATGCCGTCCGTATCTGAAATTAATATTTATGTAAAGTTTCTAGAATTTCTAGTGCTATTCTACGTATGGATCAAGTTTCTATACAATATTGATCAACAACAGAAGAATGTAGAGCTTTCGAAACATAATGTAAACGACACTTGATAAGATCTCCTTAGGCTACAGGAACAACAGAAATAGCAAGAAATTCAGCCAACGACCTCTGTGTTTGTGTCATCAGACGGCCATATCACAGTCTCAATGAGGCGTTCGCGCATCAACTCCAAATTTTGATCGGAGATCCTTTTGTATATTGCAGCGTGATCACATTTCTAAGGAAAAGAAGCATGTAAAAACAATTACAATCAAATTCCAAGCTTCCCACTCAACTTTGACAAAGAAAATGTTTTGGGATTTTCGTACCTTTATCCATTTTCCATACAGGTTAAGGCGTGTAACCATTACTCTTTCAGCAAGCTCGTGCTTCTCCTGTGAAGATGATGAATTTAGAGTAATTTATGAGGTTTGAGTAGGGGGGCGGGTTGTTAACGTAAGCGTGAAACTTTCTTTACCTTTCCAAGGTTACGAAGGAAGCGCTTTCCATAACCATGCTCATTTGTTGCAACATAACTATAAGACCAGCAGTGCAATGTGAAAAAGCACGAACATTATATCAAACGTTTACATAAAAGGCAAACTATATCGTGTACATATTATAAATCGAAGGACAAAAATGGTGTACGTTGCTTGGCCTCAATTGGTAGAGTGAGAATATAGGATACGACTGATATGCAAGAACAATGTACTTACTCATAAAACCATCGGTATTGTGGAGGGTTCATCTCATAAAGCTGGTTTAAGACAGTCCTCACGGCTTTGTAAGTGAAATAGTTGAGAATTTGCTGCAAGAAAAAACAATTTTCATCAATCTGCAAACTACCAATTAATTGATTGTTCAGTTAATTGCAGAATTGCCTCTAGGCCTGAGCTAGATAGAACCCCCGAGGCATTCAACTTCAACTGCCCCTTTGGCTGAGCTTCGGCTTCTTGTCCTGAAATTCCTGAGGGAGCTAGTTGCTTCTAAACACTTTTAGCCGGATAAAATACTTTCAGAAAATTATTTAAACGTGTTCAAAAACAACTTTTTAATCTTATAAGTAATTTTTGCCTTTCCAAAAGCTACGTGCATGTTGGGTTACCGAATATACGAAGCACTAGATTTTAACTTCCTTTTCTTCCATAATCATGTCCAACATATCAAACGTGCATAAAGTATAGTTGTAATGACAACAATGATCTCAGGAACATCCAAAATCTAGTCATTATATAGGCATTCCGCTACTAGAGGAAATCTTTATTCGGGAAGTGATATGTGTAACATCAAAGTCACAGGTTAAAATACCATATATATATATATAGTAGCGCTCAAATTATCAAACCCATAATAACGACGATCCTCTCCTCCACAAAACTTGAGTGACTCTCAGGGCAAAATCTATGTCCATTCCCATCCAATTTGCAATTCTCGTGGATTAGAGTCCCTTTATCCTTTCCTTATTTTCTTCAACTCGGCAAGGAAGACAATTTCTTCACTCGACTTTTTCTCTGCAATAATAGTTTCTTCAAATGTTCGTTTAAGAGCAATATAAAGCAAGCATTCGGGACCTTTACCATATCTAGTTCTACCCCTGCTAGCAAATTCTACAATTTTAAATCATGTAATAAAGATAAAAGGATACTGCAATATTTCAGACAGAAATCCCCAAAAATTCTATAAAAGATGGAAAGATAATTGTAAATTTCTTACAGAGGTGACATCTCCAAAATTGTCTTCATACTGTCCAGCCAATTCATCCACAATCACACTCCTCATTTTATTCTGTTTTTTCAAATTCTTGGTGACTGAAAGAGCCTTCACTGAAGAATAATCAAGAAATGAGCTGCTCATATCCAATGAACCTGGACGAGGCCTATGCTTTCTACCCATCGAATTCCTAGGAAAAATCCAATCTCCCCTCCTCAAATTTCTTGAAGGCATCACATCCAAACACAGGCATGAACGAGTATGAGAATCAACCATTGATGAACCCACAGCAGAGAAAGCCCCCACCATTCTTATTTTGACACAAAATTCAGCAGAGAAATACGTTTATAAGAAAATTAGGGACAACCCACTAAAGAAAAACCAAAAATACTAGCCGGGTTGTCCAAGAAAACTGGAGATTTTTGAATCTTAGACGATTGGAATTCAAGGAGACGTGTGCTTGCAGCAAAAGCGTATTCAAATTTGGAATTCCAAACGTGAATAGTGGAGAATGTTAGAGGAAAATTGCAAGATTCATGCTACAGTAGCATATTGACGTTCTTCAAATAATATCATATGACATTCCATTGAACTGTTTTAAATACTGTCAACATGAGAGTAAAGCCACTTTACTCGATAATGGTTGACACCTCAAGTGATCGACCCTCACATTGCACGTGGATCCCTTGTGAAGAAAATAATGCTCGACTCCCGATATGTGTGTTCGATCATCGAAAGTGTCAATCGAGATGTTCGTGTAGCATGATTCCAACTAAGATTATGTCATGCATCTGTTACCAGTAGCAAAATCCAAATTGAAATTTTGTGGGGTTTGTTGAACTGCGACCAGAATAATTTGTGTGGACGGAATTTGTCTAACCACAAAGATTTGAACTTTTAAGCAAGGCCTGTTGTGAACACACCATCTGGACGGTGGTGTACTGGATGGTTCTTCCAATTTGGTGGCTCTTTGGCCACGTATGAGAATCCTGTAGAATTGTAATGCACGTAAAAACGTGCCACATGGGAATTTTCTGTGAATCTGGACTGCATTTTGGCCTTCAGGACTTGCTTGCGTGTCACTTTTTAGTTGGGCACTCCTAAAATTATTCAACATTATAGGTCGATGTGCCCACAATGATTAAACGTGAGGGTGAGAATTGATCTACTGCGTTCACTGTGAACAAGAGTTATGTTGTCCACCGTAGATAGAAGATCAATTCCATTTTCAAGGGAACCCCAAATTTTTTATTAAGGTAGGGGTGGTATTAGAGCAAGTTAATCGTTATCGAATATTCTCAAATATGTTCTAATTGTCATTATTTTTTATATATGTTTCCTAATTGCCTTTGAACTTTAAAAGTTTTTTTAGTTGTCAATTGAAGTTACCTAAATGTTACTTCGTTGATCACTATGTCACTCACTGTTTTGGAAATGCAATCCACTTGTGATTTTGGTGACATAACATACACTAACGTTGAAAGCATGTTACACATGAAATATTATTTGTCATGCCATCAAGTTTGAGTAACGTTGAAAGTATGTCACCTGGGCAGCCCCTCTTCGACGAGTTGGGTTTCTATGAACATATTTAGACTAGATGCATGACCCGATCTATGTATCACGCTAGGAAAAAAACTTGTAAATGCCCTTGAGTCGTTTCATCTATTCATTGTATTTATTGCTTTTATTTACTTTGAGATCATTGTCGGATAGGATAACATTTTGGTAGATTCAGTGGCAAGTTGATTTTTTTTTTTTTAAGTTCAACAGCAATTAAGAAACATATAGGAAAAAAATCATTTGCAACTTGAAAAGCTTTTGAAGTTCAATGACAATTGAATAACATTTGAGAAAGTTCAACCATCATTTGTCTCTCATTCTTTTAAAACTTTTTTTTCTATATACTCATTTTCAACCACACATTCATACAATAAAATATTTTACATGTAAGTCCAAAACTTTTCCCTACTTTTTAATTACACATTCTCCAAAAATTTACTATTCAAAACAATATTTTTCAAAAAAAAAAAAAAGGCTACCAAATAAGAAATCAATCGCGATTGAGATATTTTTTACATGTTTTTGAGGTAGACCCTAAACGTAACAATGTGGATGCACAAGACATGTTCCTTGTTGTAAATGAACGAAAGTGGTGGACCTTGAGATGGATTGCGATGACTAGAAAAATACTTAGAGTGTGTTTGTGACACATTCTTTTGAAAGAATGTATTATTGAATAGCAAATTGATGGAGAATGTGTGATTAAAAATGAAGAAAAAGTTATTGATGTGATGAAAAATATTATTTTATTGAAAAATGTATGGTTGAAAATTAGTAGAAAAATAAGAATGAAAAAAATAATGTGTACCAAACATAATTTTAAGATGGTGGCCCCTGACACAGTAGACATATGGGGTTTTGATGGAGCATGTAATCCTTCTTCCGTAGGAGGAGAGACGCTTTACTGTTTGCTTAAGGGGACCACCCGATATGATATTTTGTTTGAAGAGGATTTGTTGGAGGAGCGTAAATAAACTTTTTGCTTTGGTTTGACATGAGGTAGACAATGTATTCCGTCTAATAGATTAATCTTTTAAGATAAAATCTTGTGCATCTACCCATGAGACCTATTGTCTAGAATCATAGATCAGGTAACTCGTGTTGGGTCATCCTTGACCTATTAATGTTGTGTTTCCACACGTGGAGTCTAGCCCGACACCGTAAAATTATCTAAAACTCACGTAGCCCATGTAGAGAATGATTCACATGGCTTGTGTCATATGAGCTTAAATGTGGAGAATGGCTCACAATGAGTGGGTTGTAGACACCTATTAAATTTATGAACATAATTGGTCAAATTTACTTTTTTATCCACATTTCTATTACATACAAGTATTACTCACTTATCCACCAACTATTTTATCAATTTATAATTTAAATCAAGTATAATCACTTTCCTAGCATGTAGTAAGTTGTAGGTTGAGAGGACGTGGTTTTGAAGTCATTCGAGTCAAGCTTAGGAACTAGCTAACACAATTACAACAATGAAAATAAATAAAAGATCAAATCATGTTTTATTCACATATTTATGATCCATAAATACTATCCACTTTTCTATCTATTTATATTTTAAATAGATTATAAACATTTTCCAAACAGGCACAAAGTTGCTTTCGAAGTCATGCGAGTCTAGCTTACAAGCTAACATAGTGGTTAATATTGAAGGTAAATAGAAGTTTTAAAACATGTTTGTCTAAGGTTTTATAATTTATTTATAAATTGTCGAATTACTTTTTATTCACATATTTCGTAAATTTCACAAATCGTATCACTTATTCACCACTCATTTCTATCTATTTATAAATTGAATAAATTATAAACACTTCTCAAACGAACCATAGTGATTTTATTGAGATAAATTAAACTTATTTGAGTTATTTAAAATTTCACTAAAATGAATTAATATTTTGTCGAAACATAATTTGATTTTTTTAAAATCTAAATTTCTATAAACTAATTTATACTATTCGAAATACCTTTAATCAATATTTATTTAAATAAATCTACGTGTTAATTTATACTCTTATTAATCGCACATTTAATTTTCTATCAAAATAATTATTTAATTTTATTTAATAAAAAAAGTCTTAAAATATGTTAGAGATTTACTTTAAAATAAGCTAAATTATATTTAGGGCTTGTTCATATTTTTCCCCCGTCCACAAGATTTGGCAAGAATCGACATAGCCCTCCATTAGAAAACGCAAGAAATGTTCTACAGAGGGTAAGAATTCAAAAAAAACGCGTGCTTTTCAGTATATTTGTTTTCCTGCCGAGTTTTATTGGATTGTTCTACCCTGAATTCTTATTCTCTCCAATCGGAGATTTTTTCGAATTAAAATGCGGAGATTTTTTATGTTTTAAATCGTAGCCTGATTATGCAGGAATGCGGCTCGAAAACACTCGTGTATGCTTATTTTTGTGGGTTGTATGCAAAGTTTAATTTTTTCGAATACCCAGGACTTCAATTCGTTTTAGTGTTATTTTTTTGCAGAAATCAAATTTTGATGCTGCCAAATAGGCGTTAGATAATATTTACTAGTTTTATTGTTATCTCGACATTGTATTCCTAGTTAACTGGCTGTTTAAATATGTCAAAAATAGAAAATATCCGAAGTATTGAATGTTTCTCAAGATTTAGCTTGTTTTTGACCGAGTTTCTGATAAAAATTATGTTTTCCTCAGTAGTGGTATGCTTAGGTTTTCTGTGGCCTTTTATTTTGAAGATACCAATTAATAGTCTCATTCATGAAAAAAATGTGGAGTTGGAAGTGAAAATAGACTATATATTGTATGTCCCGCGTTTATTATGAACGTAGGACTGACCCAGTTAATGTCTATATAGTAAATTCGTAGACAGTGGAGATGCAAGGGAAACGGGGTTCAAACGGCAGCGGTTGATGGATCAGGGGTCTTCGTATTATGGTACTCCTCCCGGTCCGAGTTATATGTACAATGCTCCACCTCCACCACCTCCTGCATATTCTTACTATCCCCCGCCTTTCCCAGTGGTTCGGCTTCGAGGCCTACCCTTTGATTGCACGGAGGCTGAAATTGTTGATTTCTTCCATGATTTAGATGTAGTTGACGTCCTGTTTGTCCACAAGGGGGGCAAGTCCACTGGGGAAGCTTATTGCGTTTTGGGTTATCCTCTTCAAATAGATTTCGCCCTGCAGAGGAATAGGGAAACTATTGGTAGGAGATATGTTGAGGTTTTTCAAAGCAGAAAGGATGAGTACTATAAGGCCATAGCAAATGAAGTTTACGATTCTCAGGGTGGTTCATCTCGTCGTGGTGTTCCCAGAGCTAGATCTTTTGATGAGAGCAAGGACCTGGCAGATTATACTGGGGTCCTGCGATTGAGGGGCTTGCCATACACTGCTAGCAAGGAGGATATTATGGAATTCTTTAAGGATTTTGTGCTTTCTGAATCCAAAATTCATATGATAGCTAATTCAGAGGGAAGGCCAACTGGAGAAGCGTTTGTGGAGTTTGCAAGTGCTGAAGATTCAAAAGCTGCAATGGCTAAGGATAGGATGACCCTGAAGTATCGCTATATAGAACTTTTCCCTTCATCGCAGGAGGAGTTGGAAGAAGCGGCTTCCAGCGGCAGGTGACTATCTCTTTTTTATGCTTTTCCTTGTTGCTATTCACAGCCTTATATTCAGTGTGTTATTATTTATTTTGTAGTTTGCTAGTTTTAATTTACTGTAATTAATTCCTTGAGCTTGCAAGGAAATCATGTTATTTTAAAAGAGCATACCAAATTGACAAATCAATTCATGTCTTATTTGTTCTAAGTATTCAATATTTTGCATAGACACTGTTTCCATGATTCATTTTTTGAGACTATCTTATACTGCAACAACATTATTATCTATCTATTGTTCAATATGTCTAGAAGTTATACATATTTGCCACTGTTAGATAAGTGTTGATGGCATCTAGTACTACCATTAATAATACACAAGTAGCAGGAAATCAACATTAATTATGCTTAATGGATTTTAGCTCCCAAGATTTGTTTCATGTGAGACTTATTTGAATCACTTTGTCATTGCCTTCTATATAATTTTGGATTGAGGAACTTGTATTTGGACAAAGATGATGAGATAAAATAAAAAAAGGCATTATTTTGAAAGTTTCTTGGAAGAAGCAGGTATAATTTCTTTATGACAGTTCATAGAAACAATGCTCCTCTGATTTACAATAACAAACTAAGATTTTTCCTTGACAAATTTGAGGTCGGCCACAGAATCATTTTTCTCTACTATGTTCGGTCACCGTTTCGTTAACTGCTAATAAGATGAAGAGCAACTAGATACTTAATAACTACAACATCCCATGTTAGTTTTGGTCTACCATTCCCTCTTCTGACTCATTCCAAGCTCCTGCTGACATTGTGTGCTGCCTTATTTCTCAACCCAAAATCAATGTGAGTTCAAGGTGTACTTCATTTATCTTGGAAATTCTTTGTAGTGGCTCCTCTTTTAGTAATCAATCTTTCTCATTTGCTCAATTCCATCTTCAACCTTTCAAGGAAATTGAAAAGAGAGAAAAAATTGTATCTGATTTCCAGTGACTGGGGCAACTTTGAGAGGTAGTGAAGATGAGAAATGGATTTTGGAATATGACTAATGAATTTTTGTGGGTACAAGGAGACATAGGACTAGAAGAAGACAAATGAAAGGAAAGAAAAATAAAACATCTATGCCATGCCCTAGCTCAAGTCAACTGATCCTGTTGAGTTGTTCTCTGACTTGACTTGGCAAGGTTAAGTTATAGTCCCCTCCAACAAACTTTGGCTACAAATAATGCCGAAATTCTTAGATGTGTGTTCTCTTCAAAATACATGGGTCTACAGATGGCTGCTGCTTTTTCTTGTTGCAGTTACGGCATCTTATACAAAACAGGGAAGTCGAAGGGCAAATACTAAATACCCAAATTAAAACCCAAGTAAAATAGAACTTAGTTGGAGAGGCTTTTTAATTTGCACACTGGACTTTTCATGCTAAAGTCTCTTAAAAAATAAAAAATTAAAAAGTTAAAGGAGGCCTTCTCTCAATTTCATGTTCAAAACTAGTTCTTCTGTGAAAAATTGCTTTTTGATAGTGGAATCTTTAGTGGTGGAACAATAAGACGTTAGCACTTAGCACCAATGAGTTTAGCCTTTAGGAGAAGAGGTTAGAGGTGTTCCTTCAAAACTAGTAGATTTGTGATGCAGTGCAACAGCCAAACACCCGAAAAAATTTCCCGATCTGAGATAAAAAGTAAAAAGTTCAGTAAATGATCCATCCATTTAGTTTTTGCTCTTCAGGATTCAGGAAGTTAATGCAATTTGCAAGACAAACATTTAGAGTTTCAAGATAATGGGTGCTGGGTAGAGCGTTCTGTTATTTGTTTGTTATTACTTAATGATTTAATGTAGCTCTTTTGGTGACTAGCGAGGATCTTGAAAATTGGAGTGCCTCGCTCAACTTGTGTATATTGGGACCAATTGTATTTTGAATGCCAGTAGAAATGTGTATGGCGGGGAATTATGGCATAATATATATTGGCACTGCTATATTTCTAATGCCAAAACTGCAAGTTGACACTTCTTCATGATCATCTACTGAAGGCTCTATGTGAGGTTCCTTCTGCATTGGTATAGATCATACCGACATTTTTATGCTGAAATATTTACTGTGATTTCAATGAAGTTACATTTTTGTTGATAGTTTTGCTCATGCCCAATCATCTTGAAAAGAGTTGCTATTTACAACTTTTGTGATGCACGTATACTAGAAACCAATAAAAATGCTTACGACTTTTTTTATCCAGGTTGTTGACAAAATCCTTCGAAGGGAAGGACATGGGTGAACCTACAACTGTATTACGAATGAGAGGATTGCCGTTTTCAGCTGGCAAGACTGACATAATAGATTTCTTTAAGAATTCTACCTTGTCAAAAGACTCGATTTATATTACCTATAATGCTGATGGGAGGCCAACCGGAGAAGCTTTTGTTGAATTTGCAAATGTAGACAATGCAAAAGCAGCATTGGTTAATGATAGGATGACACTTGGCAGTCGTTATATAGAGCTATTTCCGGCATCGCTTGATGAGTTGAAGGAAGCAACTTCAAGGGGACGATGAGCTATTTTCCCATATTCTATTATAACGTCACATAATGTATGAAAATTGTGTGTTGATTTTATATTGAGTTTTGGGTTTGTTTTTTAACAGGGAACTGGAATGGAATTAGAATTAGATGCTATTTTTTGAATTTTTTTTTTTTTTTGCAAGAATTTGTTTTGGTTTTCTTTGAAATCTACAGCTTATTCGGTTTTCTCAATCTTTTTCTTTTTCCTCTTCGGTTATCTGAAAGTCAATATCAACACGATTCATATTTAGTAGTTGGATTGGATCTTATAACTATGGGTACAATTTTCATGAAATATTTGTTGTATATATTTTTTTCTCTCTTTAAAAGACGATGCATAACAATAATCAAAAAAGAATAAAAGAGAAGTGATTATTCAACAATTAAAAGAAAGATCAATTCTCGGAATTCTTCATTTCTTCAAATAGAAGGAAAAGAGAGAGACCATTCTGAATATCTTCAATATCCTATATATGGAAAGTGAGTATTCATCTGCTTTCGAAAGAATAGCAATAGGTGTATTATAATTAAATTCATCTACCGAAAATGTTTAAACGTGGGCTTGGTTTCGTACTCATTTTTTCCTAAATTCAGTTTTAATTTCGTGTTTTTTCAATAAAATAATTTGCATATAAACTAATAGATTTTAATCATATATTCTCTAAAATAATCAATTTTCATAAAATATATAAATGTTCATGGAAAATATTTTTAGACGAAAGAGAACGCGCGTTGGTGCAATAAGTACATCCTTCTCGGTTCTTCAGGTGATTCAATAGTCAGTGCAGCAGATATACTGTACGAAGTGTTTTATCACAGTATATTCAGCTCCCATATCAAAGATTCAAAATACACGTACATAAACTGCTCTAAATTCTGTTCCAAAAGAATTTGTAGCTCCCCAAAATTTGTGGGTCGGTTTGCTGTTATCGTCGTTATTCATCACTTTAGCTGGTAAGATTTTTATCTGTTTAATGGAATTCTATATATTTCCAACAGCAGGATTCCTATTTCTGTATTTATGCGTTGTGTAAAGGATTTTGGGATTTTGATTTCGTGTTTTGTTTTGAATGAGACGTGTATTTGGTTATTGGTATTGTTCTTGTTCTCATGATTGGGAAAAAGGATCGATTCTTGGAGTTGTTTGCTGGGAAAAGTTTGAGTTTTTTGTACCGGTGTAATTTTGATTTTTTTTCTGGAGGATGATGCAGTGTTGTAATTCGACTATAAAAAGTGGTAGCTTTAATTGTGACTGAAAATTGGGTTTCATTTGATTTTTGGATGAATTGTTGTTAGGATCGTGAAGTACTTTTCTTTTTAAAAAGACTTTATGCACTGGAAAACAAAAAAGCTAAGGGCAAGTTTGGTTTTCGATTCCGTTTTTAGTTTTGAATTCATTTTTGGTTTTCGTTTTGAGGGATTATTTTAAAATTGCGTAAAATGCTTTTGATTTGTTATTCCGCAAAACTGTTCCTCAAAAAAAAAAAAAAAACTAGAAAATGTGTTTGGTTTAAAAAATTTAGAAATAGTTTTATGATATATTTTTTTCAATTAATTTGATAATTTAGTAAAACACATCAATTTTATGCTTATATGTGATTATTTAGTTTGATGGGTATTTGTATTTGGGTAGGTATTGTGTGATTTTATTAATTATTTTAATTTGAGAAATGTTAAAGTTTATTTTCCTTGTTGAGTTTTTTGAGTGTTTTCATCGAGTTTCATTGAAAACTCTCAAAACGTCGAAAAATCATTTTGAGTTTTATGTTGTAAAATTTTCCTTGTTTTTGAAAACTCATTTTGAAACTAACATACCAAACACATTTTTCGTGTTTTAGGAAACTGAAAATGGGCAAACCAAATGCGCTCTAAACTTTTGGGGTTTTGGGGGGTGTAGAAAAACACAATATTTATGGGTGGATGACAGAAAGCACGGTATTTACATTCTCGTCTCTTGAAGATGTATGAAGATTAACATTTACTCTGAAAAATGTTGCACAGATTTAGTTGACATTTCCCTATGTTTTTTCTGGATTATGGAGTGTTGAAAAGTAGAATTTTGATCTCATAAGCATGTTTTGGGTGAATTAAAAAGGTGCATATTGATTTAGGAATTCTGTATCAGCAACCTTGGAAATTGCATTTTCACATATATATAGAAACAGAAATTCAAAAGCATCATTAAAGGAATTATTTTCTTTTGGATGAGCAACGTTGAATTGTTGATTTTTCAGATGAGCTTTAGATGTGAAGCAAAAATTTTAAGAAAAAGATCGTATTTTTTTTCTGACATATAAAATTTTAGCTGCTCAATCCAATTTACCTTTCACTACGGTTAATTGGGCATTATTTTGTCTGTGCTGTTTGTAAGGATGTGAAGTCTTTGCCCGTAATTTCATTGGAGAAACTAGTGGAGCATGCAATCCAAGACTCAGAGTGTCACTAAAGGAGATTCCCATCTTTACAATGTTTCAAACTCCTTGTAATGTTCTTAACCATGTTGCAATAATACTGGAAGCTTCAACCCTTCAACGATGCTAGACAATGACTCAGATTCGTCATCATTGGAACAATTGATGGATAGCCAAGCACAGTCTGAGGGTGTCATAAACGAAGAGGACAATGCTACCTATCAATCAGAAGGTACAATGCCTGTAATTCCAGGTGCCTCTTCAGCATGTTATTTACCATATAAAATGTTCCTTTTTAATTTTCTCTGATACCTTCCTGATTCGTATGAAATATTGCTTCTTTATACATTCTTCTCGTCTTTGTTAGTTGGGTCAAACTAGAGCTGTCCATTTAATCTATGCTGAAGTTGGTTTTTTCTTAGTATATAAGCGGTGTCCTTATTAGCATGTATATATTATTTTTATTGATTTAATTTGCTAAAATTTTGTTGAAGCATTTTATTTCTTTCTTGTTTTATCATGTATGAAGATTGATAATAATGTCCAACTCCTGTCAAGGTTAGATAGCAATTCTGGACTGGACAGTCAGAATTTCCAGCAATATTCGTCAACCATACACCTGAGTAGTGACAGCCTAATGCAGCCTCCACATCTTGAGTTTGTTGGGCACTCCATTGTAAGAATGTTGCAATGAGAACTTAAAACTATGTTGAATGTAGCTCACTTCTAAAGTCGTGTTAGTTTTGTTGAACTCCTTTTCAGGCTTGTGCTATGAATCCTTGTGATCCATATGGAGGAATGATGGCAGCCTAAGGCCTGCCTTGGGTATGTGCGCGGGTGCTAACTTGTTTTTTGCAATGTTCTAAAATGCGTAATGCGTTGCGATGTTTCGAGATCGAAAATCAAGAATCACAAGTTTAGGCGTGTCAATGCAAAGAATAAACGTCATAATGCGTTTCGTATTTTTAATATTATTTTAATTATTTTTAAGACATTAAATATATTTTTATATAAAAAAAAATAGATTTTTTAATATATTATAAAGAAAAATAGATTTGAAAAAAAAAAGGGGGATTAGATGAGATAATGTGTGCCTAGGCGTGCACTATGTGCNCATTTTTCCGCCCATACCCCGAATTCGACGTGTTTTCTCCGCGCGTCGCTCCTAGGCGGCGCATTTGCGTGCATTTTAGAACATGGGTTTTTTGAATGCACTAGTTCATTTCTTATTATCAGTGCTAGACAATGTAATGCAGGGCACCTTTTTTACATCTCAGAAAAGGGCACTGTGTGCCAAGGATTCATCTTCGCTGGGCTATTTCTACCAGACACTCTTCCTTGCAATGGCAGTTGATTGCAAATGTCGGGTCAAATATAAAGAAAGCTCTAAAGAAGACAACTGAAAATGAAAGTCCATTTATTGATTGTAGAAAGTAAAGAAGTTATGCTAAAGTTGGGGTGAGGAAACTATAGGAAATACTTTGAATACTCCATACGAGTAGAAGGTTCTACCATATTGGATAAAATGGGCTCCCCAAGTCCTATGAGGGGTGATGGCTTCCTCTCCCTTATGATTCACCTCCTGGTTATGGTATATCGCTTATATTTTTTCCCCTCTTTTTGCTTTTTGGAGTTAGAGGGAATTTGAATAATTCAATAAATTTTACTCTGTGCCTAATATTTTCCACTGTTTCTTTTTCCTTAGGTGGATGGAAAAAATTGGTATCCTAGGATGCCACAGTTTTGACATCCCAATATCCCTCTTTATATTGATTTATCACTTTAGGCTGATGACCTTAAAGAAGTTAATCGATGTAGTTGCGATATTTTTGAATTTTGGCTCTTAACATTGGATCTTTTGGCATTCTTGGGAACTTGTTCGAATTTAATTTGATGTGGTATAATCTCAAATTGTTCAGAAAATAATTAAGAAGAAGAAGAAGAAGATAGGGATTGTTCTTTTGATCAGGTTCCTCGTGTATGATATGCATCAGACGAGGATGATGCTCCCCATGGTCCATGGAAATGGCACAGGAGCCCATGTATGTGAAGGCCAAGCAGTACCATGGCATTATACGCAGAAGGCAGTCACGCACTAAAGCAGAGCTTGGAAAGAAGTTGATAAAAGCTCGAAAGGTTGGTTATGCGAACATTTTGTTTCTCCATATTATCGTCCTATGATATTACCCATATGTACTTATTAACCAATGAAGTAAGAGCATCCTTTGCTAAGTTCAAAATTATATTTATAAGTGAATAATTATGTTTGAAAATAAATTATTTTTATTGGTCAAAGTTGGAAATAAGTAAGTTATTTATTTTGACGATAAGTTAAGAGTTGCTTTCAAATAAGTAACTTTTTTTTACTTAAAATTAAGAAAACGTTTTTACTTAAAATTAAGAAAACGGTAGCATATGTTAACATGTATGCTCCATTTGGAAGCTGATCTCAGGATCTTCAAGTTTGTCTCTGTGTTGCTGGTAGTTGTTTTTCTTTTGTCGACTTTCAGCCTTATCTTCACGAGTCACGACACCAGCATGCTTTGAGGAGGGCAAGAGGTTCCGGAGGACGTTTTGCGAAG